ATCTATCTATCTATCTATCTATCTATCTATCTATCTATCTATCTGAGACAGGGTCTCACTGTGCAGTTCATCCATCCAGCTGCCTGCGCTACAGTTGCAGCACACGTGCTGCTGAAGTGAGCACCAGCCTGGGCTACACAGCGAGTTCAGGGCAGCCTAAATTACAGAACAAGACCCTGTCTCACAGAAAAAAGGAAAGTTTATAAAAGACCAAAGCACGAGCAGGTTAGAAAGTAATGATAAGGTAAGACGAACACACAGATGCATATTAGCAAATCTTGACAAGACACAAGATGTTCTATTCTGAGGATAAAAGCAATGGAAAGCTTCACAATGGAAAGTATTAATATCCCTCAGTTGCAAAAAGTAAAATATCTGTGTGTCGAAAATATTATGTAAGGGCCAGCCAACTAGCTCAAAGGATAAAGTGCCTGCCTAGACAGTGCCCGAGGTCCAGGTTCACTGCTCACTTCAGCAGCACGTGTGCTGCAACTGTAGCGCAGGCTGGCCTCAAACTCATGGCGACCCTCCTTCCTCAGCCTCCCAAGCGTGAAGATTATAGGTGTATGCCACTACTCTCACAATTAAATTCTTTTTATACCCAGATGTGTGCCAGTCCATTAGTTTCTGCCAAAGAGAGGATGTCAGAGTGCCAGGTACAATGTAAGCCGTATTCTGATGGTGGACACAGGGAGTGTCCTTGTGTGATGTGCAGTGTAGGTTATAGAGCCAGGAATAGGCTGTAAGTGAAAGAATGATTGTGTTCCTGTTGCTCTGTTGGTCTGTCCAGCCTTGGGTGTTTCACCCTCCCTGCGGCAGTGAGAATCGATACGTCAGAAGATTTGGCAAGTGCTGGGCATGGTGACACAGACCTGTAATCTCAACACTTGGGAGGCTGAGGCAGAAGGATTGCCATGAGAGACCAGCCTGGGCTACACAGCAAGCCTAAGGGCTGGCTGAACTGCACAGTGAGACCCTGTCTCGGATGGATGGATGGATGGATGGATGGATGGATGGACTGCACAGTGAGACCCTGTCTCAGATAGATAGATAGATAGATAGATAGATAGATAGATAGAT